GCTTACCTGAATCTCCATCTCTCTGTGTCTGTCTGTCTATATGTGTCTGTCTGTCTCTTTCTCTCTCTCTCTCTCTCTCTGGCCCTCTATACATACAGGTTGATTGATCAATAGATAGACAGATATCTATCCAATAGGTACAACTCCTATTGGTTCTGTTCCTTTGGAGAACCCTGACTAACACATATGTTTGTGTCATACTTTAAAAGATCTTCCCCGTTCTGAGGTTGTGATCTTCTCTCACAATTTCTTTTCACATTTTCATGTTTTCTTCTTCTTTTTTTTTAATGTTCAATACTCTACCCATTTGTATTTTTATTTTGGTTTAACATATGAGAGAAATATATTTAATAATTTTATTTTATTCCCTGATAGGGAAATGCCATTTCAATTTATAAATCTGGCATAAATACAAAGTAAAGAGACTGATTTTTTTTTTTTTTTTTTGAGACAGGGTCTCACCCTGTTACCCAGGCTAGGGTGCAATGGTGAAATCATAGCTCACTGCAACTTTGAACTCCTGGACTCAAGCAATCCTCCTGCCTCAGCCTCCCAGTAGCTAGGACTACAGGCACTACCACATCCAGCTAATTTTTCCTTTTAATCATTTTTTGTAGAGACAGGGTCTCACTATGTTGCTCAGGCTGGCCTTGAGCCTCCCAAAGTGCTGGGATTACAGGCATGAGCCTTCATGCCCAGCCAAGACAGACTGATTTTACTATATGGCTTGTAAACTGGTTCGAGAGCAATTGTAAAACAACAGTCTAAAAACACTTTGGCAAATACTACTATCTTTGTAGAAAATGTATTATTTGACACAAACTACTTTGAAGGCTAAAACTCACTCAGATATAGGAGTCTTGAAGTGTTTACTTTAAAAAGAAAACCAGTAGCTTAAGAGTAATGCCACATAAGACAAACTATAGTGCCAAAATTAAATTATTTGAGGGGCTCTTGCTATAGGCTTTAATCTGAGACTGAGGAAGATATTTTGTCTACGAGTTCTTAATGTCACCGTGTCTTGTGACATTTGGTTTTGCACAAAAGCAATGACACCCTGGCTCAAATCAACTGGGGACTTCATACACAATATTTCTTTCTGCCCTTTATTGAATCCTAACAAGTGCAGCGACATGCCCTTTGGCAAAAGACAAACCCTAATCCAATGGGAGGACGACGACGGCCTAGTGGGTTCAACTCCTCAAGATACTGACTCAACCGGTGGGACTCTTCCCTGGGTGAATTTAGTCTGTTCACAATGCTGCTTGAACATTGTCAATGTCTGAGCATTTTGGAACTACTTTCCCAACAGAGTAAAAAGAGGGATCCACTTCTATGACTACATCCAAAAAAATACTACTTAAAGAGTTCACGACAATGTCTTTGATTTGAATGCAAAGTCGTTCAAAGCCAAATTTCAGTCTCAGCAGTGCGACAGTTTTGCATGCATCCGGCAGCATGCCTAGCTGAGTTAGGAAATGCAGATGCTGTCACAGGAAGGAATACACTGACCTGGTTCAATGTTAGGTGGGTCAAAACCACTAGACTGCCCCTGCCCCTGCCCCTGCCCCTGCCGGGGCCTCGTGGTGGGGAGCACGGTGCCTCGTGGGGACGCGCTGAAATGGCGTGGGACACGCAGAGGACGGACCAGAGGCAGCTGGGGACCTGTCCGTCTCTGTGTGCACTGCTGAACCGCCAGCAGCTTATGCAGCACCTGACGCAGGCCAGGTTGAGAGGAGAGAGAGAAAGAAGAAGGAGAAAAGGGAGAGACGGTGAAATAAAGGGAGAGAAAGAACAAAGAGCAACCTTGACCGATCCCAGCTGTTTGCTAAACGTATGGCCTGGAGCAAATAGCTCAGCCTCCTGGTCCCCAGGGCCTCAATGTCAAGTGCAAACTGAGGCGCCCGCTCACGCTGTCGTGAGGACTGAACGTGCTGGTGTGTGTCGCATGCTTGTCACGGGCCCGACCCATAGCAAGTGGCTGAAGAAGGCTCCTGGGATCCCTGCCACCAGGAGCCCCAAAGCCACACAGGGCAAAGGCTAGAAACACCCGCTGCTCCTCTCTGCAGTTGCTTCCCCGGCTGCCCCAGGTCCCCGCTGTCCTCCTAGTGGCCCTGAGAGCCACTTGACTCTGGGCACGGAGGCTCACTTGGCGGAGGGAGGGAGATGGCAAGTGTCTCGGACAGCTGGGGCTGCGATAGCAGAACCCCGCAGACTGGGCGGCTCAAACCACAGACGTTTCCCACAGTTCCGGATGCCAGGAAGTCCGAGAGCAACACCCCGGCGGATTCCACCTCCTATAACCATCGCATTAGGCTATCGGTTGACAACGACCTAGGCTGTAGCTGACATATGAATTTGGGGGGCACACAATCAGTCCGTGCGGCAGGTAATGACCTTCCTGGCCTGCACAGGGTCCTGACCACGGCGAAGGCCTCTTCGTGCGAGGCGGTCACGGCGTAGTAGCTAAGAGAGTGGAGGCTGGAGACAGACGGCCTGCGGTTGACTTCTGAGTCTGTCTTTTGCCAGCTGCGTGAACCTTGGACAAGCGGGTTAACTTCTGTGCACCTCAGCCTCCCGCACCTGTAAAATGGGTTGATAAGAACAAGACTTATCTCATAGGGACATGAGATGCGAATCCACGCTCAGTGTCGCCTTAGAGCAGTGCCTGGCACCTTGCTAGTGCCTGGCACCACTAAGTGCTGTCTTAATCATACTGTGTCACCCATGAGCCAATTTAATGCTGGTGACAGGACGGCCAACAGCATGAAGTTCTTGACGTCTGCACAAGGCAGACTGGTGGGTGGCGAGCGCACGGGAGGGTAACTGGAAGACGGCTCTCACGCCTGCACTGCCTCCTCCTAGCTGCGAGACCCTGAGCACCACGTGTGATCTCTCTGAGCCTTAGTTTCCTCTTAAAAATGAAAATAACAGCCTCGCTCTGCCTGATCCTCAGAGCTCCTCTGGTGACCAGCTCCTCTGGGCCACAGTTAGGGTGACGGGTAGATAAGATCTGAGAGAGGAGGTAGCATCCAGAAGAAACGTCTGAACACTCTAGGATGCGAAGTGGTTGCCGAGGTGAGGCTGCATTTGCTTCCAGGGACAGCCGTGCGAGTGGCAGGTGGATGACCCTGGGCTGTGGCGCCGTGGCTCTCGTCCCTCCCCGCAGGTGTGTGCGTGTGAGCACATGTGTCGGGGAGCTGAGGCGAGCTGGTGGGGACATCGGATCCCAGAACACTGAGTCAGCTGAGGACGTGGGAGCCGAGTGGGTGGGGCTGGAGAGTCATGCATTTGTAATTTTCAGCTGAACAAAGGTTCAAGCAAACATAAAAATGCATAAGGAAGACACATGATCGCTATTAATAGCTCAATGGCGAAGTCTGACAGCTCCTCTTGGTTTCGAAGCGGAAACAGTCCTTTTGGGATGTGCGTTCTCGTCCTTGCGGGAGGCTGCAGCCGCCGTGTGTGTCCTCCTCTGCATCCGGGTTGGGATCCGGATCTCTGCATGGGCGGGGAGGGGGGGGGCGAGGGATGACTGTCTTCCAGCATCAGGGAGGGCATGAGCCAGCAGCTCTCCACGAGAAACCCCGTGGAAGGGGTGTCAGTCGGCCAGGGCACCATGGCTAGTGCCACATACGGGGCCCAGACAGCAGAAATTGATTGTCTCACTGTCTGGAGGCTGGAAGGCCAAGGTCAAGGTGTTGGCAGGGTTGCTCTCTCCTGGGGCCCCTCTTCTTGGCCTGTGGATGGCCGTCTCCTCCCTAAGTCTCCACGGCAACTTCCCTCTGGGTATCTGGGTCCCAACTTCCTTTTCTTATAAGGACACCGGTTTTATTGGGTGAGGGCCCACCTTAATGACCTCATTTTAATTTAATTGCCTCTGTAAAGATCCAATCCCCAAATAAAGTCTCATTCTGAGGTACTGGAATTTGGAGGGGACACGGCTCGGTCGCTAACAGAGGGCATTATTTCTGGAGGACAGACCCACGCAATTCCGTCAGTGCCTGATACACACATCACAGCCACAGAAACTTAGCACGATCACGGCCATGACCCGGCGCAGCTTCCCTGAGCCCTCGGAGCAGTGCGATGGCCAGGGGAGGGGACCGAGGGTGGGAGGCAGGCGGTGGCTACAGCTGCCAGCGACCCTGGCCATGCAAGGAAGGGGTCCAGCGGGGTCTGAGGAGCTCAGTTTTACCCTCTGCTTGAAGCACGTCATACTTGGGTTCTCAGAACTTTTCAGAAAGAACTTACACAAACAACCTCTGCGCTAATGCTTCCATTTAAAGGAATATTTACAAACATCAGACTCTGGGTCCTGAACAAACCCAGCGGCAGCAAGACCACACCCTCATCTGCATGAAAAGGAAAAGTCAGGCCCAAGGGGCCCTGGGAAGCTTATCTCTGTGTCCAGATTTCTAGCACAGATAGAATAAGACAGTGCCAAGTTCAAATTTATTTGGTCTGACCTCTGACAGCCATCAGCTGCCTTACCCTAACTTACAAAGTAACTTCACCTCCCGTGGGCTGCATGTCCCCAAGACCCCTTGTGCTCCAATAATCTGTGACTCTAAGAATTATTAAGAGCAACAAAGGCAGCCGGGTGTGGTGGCTCATGCCTGTAATCCTAGCACTCTGAGAGGCCAAGGTGGGAGAATCATTTGAGCTCAGGAGTTTGAGACTAGCCTGAGCAAGAGTGAGACCCTGTCTCTACTAAAAATAGAAATTAATTGGCCAACTAAAAATATAGAAAAAATTAGCCGGGCATGGTGGCGCATGCCTTTAGTCCCAGCTACTTAGGAGGCTGAGGCAGGAGGATCGCTTGAGCCCAGGAGTTTGAGGTTGCTGTGAGCTAGGCTGACGCCGCGACACTGTAGCCTGGTCAGAGTGAGACTCTGTCTAAAAAAAAAAGGACAACAGAGGCAATGAATGTTTCATTCTTTCCTTCATTCACTCATTCAACAAGTATTGCTTGAGCACCTACTATGTGCTGGGTGCTCAGGGGAGGAGTGAAGCCATCAGAGGAGGCTGCGTGGAGGAAGTGGCATTCGAGTCTGCCCTGGCAGACAGGCTAAGATTTTGATGAGCAGAGGAATTCCAGGTGGAAGGACCAGCATGAATAAAGGCCAGCTAACAGGAAAGACGGACCATAGTCAGGAGGCCGGGTGGATAAGATCTGAGAGGAACCGGGGGCGGGTTATGTCAGGGAAGAGTGGGCTGCCAGTCTAGATGCTCAGGTGAGAATGTGATCGTGCCTAAGAGGGGTGACTCCGCCTTGCCATCTGTCCTTTGCCTCTGACAGGCTTGAAGTCAACCTGCAGAGACAGGCTAGAAGAACGGGACGGAAGGCAGACCACTCTTCCCTTCCGGTGAAAGGATGGAGGGAGGAAGGAAACGGCGGCGATTACAGCCGTTCTGGCTGTAAACGTAGTCTCGGAATCACAGCAGCTCTTGTTGTGGCCATTCCCGTGGGCGTTTGGATTTATGTCAGAAAGTGACATGACTGCCTATTTTTGAGCATCTAAATCTGTCACCGGTGGAATGATTTTGTTTGCATGCTGTTGTTCACAGGCTGAGGACTATTCGCTCATGCAAATGCGTTCTTTCCAGCCCCAGTGGCCTCTGGCACCCGTCACTCAGTGCCTATTACCAGAGCCCTAACCCGAACCGCAAGCAAGCAACCTGGGCTTTCTAAAGCAGGCTGGGCTGAGGGGCGCTGACGAGGGCCTGTGGCTGCCCGGCTGTCCCCCGTGTGGGAAGTTTGGGCAGACGGACCGGGTGCCAGCGAGGCTGGATTGTTGAAGACAGCGGGGACTTCCTGTTCAGTCCTGTCAATCAGGCACCTCCTTCTCGCCTCTTTGTGGGATCCGGAGTTTTCAGGGCACCCGGGAAACAGTCACAGGAAACTTGTAAATGTTGTTTCCCTTCTGGAATAGGAAGAAATACAAAATACAAGAGTCTGCTTTGTGTGAAGGCAATGAGTAAGGCGCTGCCTCACTAGAAAGATCTAGTGATGCTGTTCAGGTAGGTTGTGTAGAGAATTCAAAATGCTACGTGGGAAAAAAAAAAAAAAACCAAATGCTACGTGAAGTATATCGTTTTCTGAAAATGCCTTTGCCAACAAGTGTTGGACTCTGGAGGAAAGGAATCTAAAAATATTAGAGCTTTTTAAGTCTTTAAGTAAATTAAGAGAAAATTAAAAAAATTAAAAATATTAGAGCTAGATTAAACTGACAAAAAGACGTAGTAATTAAATATAATATATGACTGCATCTTTCATTAGAGAGAAAAACATGCTATAAAGAGCACTACTGGATACTAGACCCTTATCAAAACCACAGTGAGACTTCACAGCTACGAGGATGGCTACAACCACAGACAGACAGTAACAAGCGCTGACAAGGCTGTGCAGAAACACTTCGCTGGTGGGAATATGAAATGGCGCAGCTGCTTTGAAAAACAGTCCAGCAGTTCCTCAAAGAGTGAAAATAGAGTTGTCACATGACCCAGAAATTTCACTCCTAGGTGTGAAAACACATGTCATGTCCAGACAAAAACTTGTACATGTATGTTCGCAGCATTATTCATGATAGCCAAAAAGTGGAAACAACTCACATGTCCACCAACCGACAAATGGATAAACTGTGGTACATCCAGACAGTGGAATATTATTCAGCAATAAAAAGAATCGAGCTATCAAGCCACAAAAAGGCACAGAGGAATCTTAGGCGCATGTTACCAACTGAAAGAAGCCGATCTAGAAAGGCTACATACCGTATGATTCCAACCACATGACATTCTAGAAAAGGCAACACTATGGAGACAGTAAAATGGCCGGTGGAAGCAGGGGTGAGAGGGGAGGGAGGAGTGAATAGGTAGAGCACAGGGGACTTTAGGGCAGTGAAACTACTCTGTTTGATACTATAGTGGTGGATACATGTTGTACATTTGTCAAAACCCAAAGACTGAGCCTATCATCATCATCAAGCACGGGCTTGGTTGGTAATGACATGTCGGTGTAGGTTCATCAGTTGCAGCAAGTGCGCCCTCCTGCACAAATCTTCCCTGATGTTGATGGCGGGGGAGTCTATGCATGAGTGGGAGCAGAGGGTACATTGGGACTCTCTGTGCTTGCCAGTCAATGTTACTGTGAACCTAAAACTTCTCTAAAAATAAAGTTTATTAAGCCAGGCATGGTGGCGCGTGCCTGCAGTCCCAGCTACTCGAGAGGGTGAGGCAGGAGGATTGCTTGCATCCAGAAGTTCAGGGCTGCACTGAGCTACGGTCATGCCAGTGAATAGCCTCCAGAAGGAACACAGCCTTGCTCACATCTTGCTTTGAGCCCAGGGAGACCTATTTTGGACTTCTGACTTCCAGAACCGTGAGACAATACATCTGTGTTGTTTGGAAACACCAAGTCGGTGGTGACTGCTACAGCAGCCAAAGAAAACTAATACCATAGCATCATGTCAATAGATGTACTGTGGTTACATAAGATGATAACAGTAGAAGCTGAGTGAAGATGATACCAAAAGACTCTGTATTACCTTTGCAATGCTGTTGTAAATCTAAAATTATTTTTAAGTAAAAGTGAATTGGGGGCTTTTTTTTTTTTGGTTTTTGGTTGCTTTTTTGAGACTGAGTCTTGCTCTGTCACCCCACCTAGAGTATAGCGGCATCCATGGCATCATGGCAGCTCACTGCAACCTCAGATTCCTGGGCTCAAGCGATCCTCCCGAGTCGGGCTCCAGAGCAGCTGGGACTACAGGTGTGCACCACCATGCCCAGCTAACTTTTTCTGTTTTTAGTAGAGACAGGGTCTAGCTTTTGCTCTGGCTGGTCTCAAACTCCTGAGCTCAAGCAATCCTCCCACCTGGGCCTCCCAGAGTCCTGGGATTACAGGTGTGAGCCATTGCACCTGGCTAAGTATGCTTTTTTTTTTTTTTCCGGAGACTTTCTCCTCCCGATCCCACTCCAGCTCCTCATGAGGAGCCAGGACAGAAACCAAACCTACCCTCTCACCCTGACTTACCTTCCCAGTTGAGAGAGCATCATCACATCTCAATTCAGCTCCCTCCCCACGCAGCCCGCTGCCAGAGCTCCTACAACCAGGACAGAATGTTTCTCTTAATCCCGCCCACCTGCGCTAAGAGGGCGGGGTCACCTGCAACACCTTTGTCTCCTTCACTCTGAACCTCCAGGTTTGAGACGCCTCTTTTCTGTGTTTTCTGCTTTTCAACCATCCCACCTGCATCTGCCCCGTCCTGTCTGCTCCCCTTGCCACTGCCCTGGTCCAGGGGACTATTGAGATGGCCGCAGCCGCCTTTTTTTCTTTTTTTTTTGAGACAGAGTCTCACTCTGTTGCCCGGGCTAGAGTGACATGGCATCAGCCTAGCTCACAGCAACCTCAAACTCCTGGGCTCAAGCGATCCTCCTGCCTCAGCTTCCCTAGCAGCTGGGACGACAGGCATGCGCCACCATGCCCGGCTAATTTTTTCTATACATTTTTAGTTGGCCAATTAATTTCTTTCTCTTTTTAGTAGAGACAGGGTCTCGCTCTTGCTCAGGCTGGTTTCGAACTCCTGACCTTGAGCGATCCTCCCACCTTGGCCTCCCAGAGTGCTAGGATTACAGGCGTGAGCCACCATGCCAGCCTTGCTGCAGCCTCCTTGTCTCTCCGAGGCACCCTGGGGACGCTGCCTGTGCTCCCTCAGCAGCCCCGAGGTCACCACCGCCTGCGAATGAAGCCTGTCTCCGTCCGGGTCTTCACAATCCGATTGCAGACTTCTCTCTCCTCCCACGACCCCCTCTTACACGTGCCCCCCGACACTGGCCAGACCAAAGGGCCCGCCCCTTGCACCCAGGTGGACTCTGCTCCGGCCACTCCTCTAGGCTGGAAGCTCCCGCCTCCGGAGCCTTGGCAAGCTCCTCACTCTGGGGGGTCACACTAAGGGCCTCCTCCTCCCCACGTTCACTTTAACCCCTCCATCAGAAAGACTGGCATCCCCTACCCAGCCAGCCGCCCACTCCGCTCCCAGAGCACAATGCTCTTCCCTTTCTCACAGCTTCTAGGTGTGTTTGCCTTGTGTTTTGTGGCTTGGGCTCCCTCTTACCTTCTTCACTGAAGCTGGAATTCCTGCAGGGCAACTGCTGAGCATCCGGCACAAAGGCTGGCTGGTGTTTCAGGGCCGCCTCCTATGACTTGGGTCCCATCTCTGCCGGTCCCCAGCTGCATGGCCTGGGAGAAGTCTCTCAGCTGCTGAGCGCCTCAGTCCGCATATCTGTAACATGGTGACAGTGATAATAATAATCCCAGGCAATCCCACCACATACCAGACTCTGTGGACCACGGATGTAATCCAAAGCTTTCATTTTGTAAACGAGGAACCGGAGGGCTAGGGACATGAAATAACTCAAAAAGAATTCACCTGCTTGATGACTTGTGAAATAGAAAAAATTTAAAAATAAAAATAAATGTAAAAAGGACTCACATAACCCACTATCTAGTCTGCCTTTAATCCTTCATGGGCTGGAACAAGCCCAAGCTTCACCAGTCAAATTCGAGTCTCAGATCCCTTCCCCACCCAGGGGTGCCTTGGCCTCGTGGGTGGCCCAGAGGGGACCTGAGCCCACAAAACTGGCCCAGAAAGGAAGCCCAGCTTTGGGCACCCCACCCAACTCCTTCTACATCTGCAGAGAGAGGACCACAGCGTTTGAATTACCACTCCTCTCATTGCCTCCATCCAAGCTCCCCAAGTTCATAAATAAGGCCGGCTTCGACCATCAGATTTATTCTTCAGTCTGACCACATGCAGCTGAGGCAGGGGACCTTGCTGTGACTTGTGTGACTGAGACAGGCGCCCAGGAGACTCCAGGCTTCTTGGGACCGGGAACAGAGAAGCCACTGAGAGGACACAGGGAAGAGGCCTTTGGGAGCAAACTTCCATGTCCTTCTCAGACAGGCTGGAAAGAAACCCTTCCCTCCTCTTCCTCATTCCCCTACCAACCTGTAAAAACCCAGGGAACTGGGTTCCTTCTGCTCTGGGCTGCCAAGGCCGGGAGCAAGGCGGATGTGGCTAGAGCACTGGCTTTGGACTCAGATTCAGGCTTGAATGAGGGCCCTGACACCTCCCACCTGTATCCACTTGCTGGGGCTGCAGGAACAAGCACCGCAGCCTGGACGGCTCACACCACAGACGCGCACCGTTTCCCGGGTCTGAGGTCAAGGTGCAGGCGGGGCTGCTCTAAAGGCACCAGGGCAGGAGCCGCTCCAGGCCTCTCTCCTGCCTTCGGAGAAAGCTAATCAACTTCTCTGAGCCTCCTTTTCCTCCTCTGTCAAAGGGTGATGATAATAACAAGTTACTTAATAGAATTGCTGGGAGGTTGGAATGGAAAACCCTGACTAATACAGTGTAAAGCGCACAACAACAGTGCACACTCAGTAACTGTGGGAGCTAATTGTTATTAGTTTTATTATTATGCTGCAAATGACGCACAGCACGGGGCCCCAGCCACAGCCCCTCAAACGTTGTGACAGCATCCTTGTATTTTCCCCAAGTCAGGGGAAATTCGTTGGTCTTTCTGTTTAAACCCTGAACCTCTTCCCTCTGTCTTGCCTCTCCTAGCACCTGCACAGGTGCCCGTGCACCCCCCCACACACTCACAGACATATACACACGTGCACACACATACAGGCATATACACGCGTGCACACACACACACACACACACACACACACACACACGGGCATGCAATTCCTGGAGACGGTGCTGGGGAAAGGGGAGGAGGGAGGAATAATGCTGTTAGCTCTCAAATGTGGGTTGTGGATTTCTGCTTCTGGCGTCTTTCTTCTCTGTAGTAAGCCATTCACTCCACAGCCCCTGGGATGGTGGGACGACATTCAGTCACCCTCCTCCTCCCCACGGGGTGCTAACCTGCTGCCTTGCAGAGGAAGAGCCGTGAGTCGCAGAGGGCTGCCTCGGAGGCTGGTTCCCAGGACACGGGTCAGAGAAGAGTCTGGGGAGAGACAGTGGCCAGTGGGAGGGAGTCCCTGACTTAGGTGATGCCTGACACCTCCATCTCCTGCCCATTGCTCCCCTCTGTGACGACTTTCAAAGAGGTGACTCAGGGTCACCTGGTCGTAGAGGAGGTCGTGGCTCCGCAGAGTGGAGCTGGGGAGGCCTGGGTGCAGCTCAGCGAGGGCAACCCCCCAGCACCCGGCCTCGCAGCAGCACGCCAGGCTGCCCCCTGCCTCCTTCCCATCAGGGCCCTCGCTGTCTCTTCAAGCCCGGCTGCCCCCAGATGAGCAAGCGGCCGGCGTGAGTCCAGACTGGGCTCTTGCTCACCACTCCAAACCTGAGACATCAGGCGTCCGTGCTAACCAGGAAGCTCGTTAAAACTCAGATCTGTCCCCAACAGCCCAAAACCATAGCAACAGAATCCCAGGATTGGACCCCAGAATCTGCATTTTTAACAAGTTCCCCAAAAGATGTTGGCAGGCACAAAGGCTTCGGCCAGAAGAGACAGCCCCAAGCTGAGGGAGGTTCTTTTCCCTTCCTAGAGTCTAGACCTGCTGGTTTCTTGGTTTTTGTGAATTTGGGCCATCACTTGACCTCTCTGGGCCTCAGTTTCCTCATCTGAAATATGGGAGTGATAATAGTTCTACCTCGATGGATTATTGAGAAAATTGTAGTGGGTGTACACCATTAAATTATGCCAGGCACTTTATTTTTTATTGATAAAGGATCAGTAATTGTTAGGTGTTATTATTGAAAAAATAACTGCTATTCTGGAAACCTTCTCTTTCCCAAGTGGAAAATGAGAAAATCACATCTTCCACAGCAAGCGACTGTGTCTTTGAGAATATACAAGTAAGCCCAAGGAGCATTCATTTCCCAAAAATGATTTCATAATGTACCCATGTACTTTATTTTTATTTTTTAGAAGTGGGGTCTTGATATGCTGACAAGGGTGGCCTTGAACTCCAAGGCTCAAGCAATCCACCTGCCTCAGCCTCCTGAGTAGCTGGGACTACAGGCCCAATATACTTTAAAAAAATAAAAAATAACTGCAGCTTACTCAACACCTTATATGTGTTGGGTTCCACAAACAATCAGCCTGATGGGCAGTATTATTTCCATTTTAAACTTAAGGAAACATACCTTGCCCAAGGTCACAGGTCCATCAGGGCAAAGTTGGGATTTGAACCCAGACCTCACCCTGGAACCTGGTCTCCACAGAGCTGGTTACTAACTGTCTGTTTATTGGCAGGAGCTCCTGAAATGCCCTTGTTTTCCCAGAGTTGCAAATCAATGTTAGTATTCCCAGGCAAAATCTGGTTATAGAAGTAAACCGTGCAGTTAACAATGTTCTTCTAATTTAAATAGAGAATGCAGACAAGAAATGGCAGTACTTATTTTACAATTAAAATTAAAACTCACTAATCGTCAACTGAGCACATGCCTCCAGGAAAATAAAGCTCTACAACTTGTAGAGTAAGAAATGTCCTTTTCTCAGCACGGACACTTTCACACCCTGGGAGGTGTTTGCCTCTGCTCCACCCCCAGCTCTGTGACATGCACCCTCCACTGCTCCTGTCAACACCCTCAGATGGGGCCAGAGTTTCCATTCATGTCTCCCCCCGCTCCCCCAAGGCCCCCCCGGACTGAGCTCCTGGGAAGGGAAGGCGGCCTTGGTCACAGCCACGTTCAGCTCAGGGCTTTGCATGACGCAGGCTCTCCATAAATGTGATTTCAGATCATGCAAATCACTACTGTGGTTTTTCTAAAGAGATGAGGAAAATTGGAAGCACCTGCCTTGTTCCCGCAGCCCTTCTCTGAAGGACGTTCACTTTCCAGTTAAGGAAGGGAAAAGGGGTTGTTGGTGGAATACGGATATACACCCAGGTACTCAGGAGCAATGCAAAAGTAACTTCAGGGACCCTTTAGTTTTTCTAATGGTTCAGCTCAGCCCAGTGTTTTTCAGGCTCCTACTGTGAAATAGACACTCCGCCAGGTGCTGTGGGGCTGACGATGACAGAGGACCCGTCCCAACCCTCACGGAGCTGATGCTCTGCGGGGCAGAAGCAATGAGGAGATCCAGGTGTGAGAGGTGACCAGACGGTTTATCCAGGACAGGCACATGTCTGTTCTGTTACGCTGAAACTGTTCCTTGATTGTAACAAATCATCACTTACATAGATTGATTTTTCCTAGAGCCCAAGCTGATTTAATGGTGTTTGGGAAATAATCTTCTTTTTTTTTTTATATCACATTTTTCTTATTGAGTGTCATAGTAGCTTGAGATTAATTGTGACAGCTTTCAAAATATACCACCTTTTGGAGAGAGATTAAACAGTAACAACAGCTTATTAATCACACAGAATATCTTTGCACTGTAAATTTAAATTGGTAACTTTGCATAATGGGAAGTTGAAATTGCTACATATGCAAGGAGCAGAAAAGGATCTACAGCCTAAAATTTATGATGAAACAGTCACCTTGTCTTTCCTACGCACTCTGTTGTTCATTGCCGCATTCCATGGCTACTTAATATTGTAATCCATTTCTCTAAACAGATATTAATACACTTTAGAACTCCCATTACCTCAACACAAGCAAAACAAATTTATTTCCTTCTGTTATAATTGACTTACTTTTCCATTATTTGAGTGCTTCTCCTGAGTTGCATGTGAAGTGCAGAATGTTTGCAGGATGTACAATCAGCCGTTTGGATCGCGTCCATTTCTCCAGAACCACACTGATTGCAGCATTATTAAATCATTCTGCAGAGTCTATAACTGAGCAGAATCGGCGACGGGCCCTCGACTAGGAGGCTGAGTGCTGGCCTGGAGGCCTGCGGCTTCCAGAGACAGATCTCAGCGCCGGGGGAGACCAGGGGAAGTCCCAGCCCCAGCCGTCTCACCAGGACAGAGATAAATTCTCCCCGGTCCCGACACCTCGAAGGTTAGGGCAAAACTATTGGATGAAATATAGAGACGCTGCCCCCTCCAAACCCATCCACGTTTTCAATGTTCTGCCCCATGTTCTGTCCAATGATTTGGGGGTTCTGCCCCAGCCAGCTAAATCATGACACCCAAGGCTTTCTCAATTATGTCCTCCCCATTTTTGAGGGACAGGGAGGCTGGCTTAGAGTTCGGTCTCTCCTCCTGGAAGTGCTTCCTCAGCGCCCAGCTGAGCCCGATCTTCTCCTCTCTCCCCTGCACGAAAAGCCAACTTCCTGCCCTAACTGCCTCCTGGTCACTCCATGGGCTCTTCCATGTCCCAGGCTATGCTACTGGAGCCTTCCAGATGTTCCGGAAGTTCTGCAATCCCCAGGAGGCTCCACCGCCAATCAGCAAGGGGGCCTGGGAAAGAGAGACCTCGGGCAACGAGGTCCCTGCAAGACCAGCAAGGCTGTGACACTGAGGACAGGAAAAATACAGGCTGAAGCACTATCTGCTCGGAGCGTCAGCCTGCCGGAGCCCACAGAGACCTTTTGAAACTGCCCTGGGACTCATCTTGGGACCCCTTCGGTCCCCAGCCTGTGCTTCCATGAGGAGCTCAAGGGTACTTTTTGTTCTTACCATTCACTCAATTGAAACTTGACCATAGGCTACCTGGGGACATCTCTTGTCTTGTTCTTTAGCTTGCAAATGATGATTTAACTTCCCCTCCACAGGATGTTTAATCTCAGCTCCTTGAGTGTGGAGGAGGCTTTGGCACCAGGTGGCAATCTGGACGCGCCATAGGCAGGGCAAGAACTAGGAGAATGAATCGTTCTTGTGTCCACGCCTGCAATAGTAAGACGTGTGGTAGGAAGCCGGAACAAGCGATGATAGAAAGGACTTCTTTTGGTCTGTGCGAGGCTGATGAACCCCACCGGGTGACCCTCAGAAGATGAATTGTGGTGGATTTTCATCCACGTAGGCTCTAAGCACGGAGGGAGCTATTCACCTGCCACCCCCAGCCCCGCGGCAGGACCCGTCCACATGTTCCAGCAGCAGCTTGCAGGAGCCGGGATGGGTGGGCAGAAAGGGGTCCTGCCCTTGAAAGTCCAAGGGTCTGTCTGGACACGGATGGCTTGTCGTGGCTCATCGATGCTTCTGATCACAGACGCACACACAGACAGGCAGTGGCTGCGGTGCCTGAGCCTCCCCCCGCCTCCCCTCGCCTCCCCCCGCCCCCCGTGGCAAGTGCCACCTCTTCCGACTGGAATGACTTCCCAAAGGGTTACTTGGTTTATGCATGTTTCTGTCTGATGACGTGAAAGAAGGAATGGAGACAGAAGTCAGTGATGGTTCTATGCCATTTGGGAGTGTATTGAACAACACGGAATGGTGCACATAAAAAAAAAAAGAAAGGACTTTTGTTTTGGGGGCATGTGAACTAGCAAGGAAAATTAAGGCGCTTTTTAAAAGGTTATAGAACCCAAAATAACGTGTCTCTTTCATTATTTGGACACTCTCCCAGAAATGTGTTACCTAATTTTCTTAATCCTTGAAGCCATTTTGCATAGGTAGATTTTCCTCAACTATAGGGAAAAGTGGTGCTAACATCACAGGCTGACAGAGGTGTCTCTGAGTGGAAAGATAAGGGCCTGCAGCAGCAGAAGCTGCACATAGCAGTACATCTCTGTCACTGCTAATAAAGAAACTTTTCTTTTTTTTGATACAGAGTCTCACTCTGTTGTCCTGGCTAAAGTGCCGTGGCATCATCGTAGCTCACAGCAACCTCAAACTCCTGGGCTCAAGCGATCCCCCTGCCTCAGCCTCCTGAGTAGCTGGGGCTACAGGTGCTTGCCATATAGCCGGCTAATTTTTCTATTTTTAATAAAGACAGGATCTCACTCTTGCTCAGGCTGATCTCAAACTCCTGAGCTCAACCGATCCTCCTGCCTCGGCCTCCCAGAGTGCTAGGATTACAGGTGTGAGCCACTGCAACCGGCCCCAAGAATCTTTAACTACTCAGAACACCTGTCCTCGTTCTGCAGCGATAACAATTTGTTTCATTGTAATCTCCCATTATTGTCCCTTGGCACCCAACAATAGTGCATTCATTCATTTATTCATCATATATTTACTGAAAATCTACCACACTATGGGCCAAAACTGAACTAGAAGCTTGGAATACAAAGTCAGAAAATGCATTTACTGCCCTCAAGGGGGACTTTATCCAGTGGGGGTGACGGATAGCTGCACTTGGGTTCTAACACAAATGCTCCAGGAAGAGAGGGAGACTCGGAGCAGGCATCCCAGAGCTGAAGGTGCTGTGCGACTTCAGTGTTCAAAGATGAGCTAGTGAGCCCCCGGGTGTAGAGTAGGGACAGATATTGGAGGCAGAGGCAGGGAGGTTCATGCAAGGCAGGGGGCGTGAAAGAGCCCGGAGTGCACCGAGAAGGACAAATGGTCTGTTGGAACAGACTGTCTGCTGGCGTGTGCGCCTGCGTGTGGGTGTGCGTGTGCACACATGTGCGTGTGCGTGCGCTCTGGGAGGCTGGAGAGGTGCTAAATAGCCCTGATGCCGTGTCTCGTTTCTATTTTATCCATAGATAAAAGGAAACCAGTCGAGTTTTTTCAGTCCTGCAAATAACATGATTAGGGGTGCTTTTAGTATATTTATTCTGATGCAAAGAGAGAATTAGAAGGCGTCATTCCCGAGGCCAGGAGACCTGAGTCTTGCCTAGACTCTTGCCTGCCAGTCGCTCACCTGCCAGGTGAGAGATAAAGACCCAGATGAAAGGAGGGTAAGGCTTTAGAGAAAAACAGAGCAAGTCTGAGCAAGAGCAAGACCCATCTCTACGAGAAATTAGCCGAGCTGGTAGCAGCCACCTGTAGTCCCAGCTACTTGGGAGGCTGAGACAGGAGGATCGCTTGAGCCCAGGAGTTTGGGGTTTCAGTGAGCTATGATGACACCACTGCACTCTAGCCTGGGTAACAGAGCAAGACTGTATCTCGAGAGAGAGAGAGAGAGTGTGTGTGAGCGTGAGCGAACGAGCTGACATACCTGGTACCCTATTAGAAAGAAAGGAGAATTTTGAGGCAACTCTTGGGAGATAGGGCCCATTTACTGGCATAAGGAATACTGGAAAAGGATTTTTTGTTTTGTTTTTTTTTTCAATATGAGTAAAGAGGATAAGCTTACATTTGCACCAATAAATAATGACATTACTCATGATTTGTAACTTTATAGCATGGGCTCCCAGGCTGCACTGCTTCCCCTAGAAAATCACACAGTATGCATTTCATGACTGTGGCAAAGTGTCCCAATTAAAGACATCCTGCAGTTATTCAAATCTCTTTCCTCCTCCACATACTTTTCTTTCTCCCACAACTGATTCCCTCTCCACAAACCCCTCCCTACCGCAAGACACTAATCAGAGTTCAGACTGAGGGCAAGCATTGAGCAGTTCTGGGCTCTGGTGCAAGTATGATTTCTATAAAAAGACAGTCAGAAAACAGAGCAATGTTGCCATTTTGCCTTTAATGGAAACGTGGCTTAGCACTTACAGTAAAAAAAAAAAAAGTCCCTTTTATTTAAAAAAAAAAACATAAAAAACTCTATCCAGCTTCTAGCAATCAGTTTGAATTTTCAGAAATACACATACACTTGAAAATCAATAGTCTTTATAAAAATAAACTCTGGACATGTGATTAAAAAGGGAGTAGCACAGTCTTTTTAGCTGCACGAATGCATAATGAAAAGGAGCCGAGTCCGCCTGAGATGGTTCACCCCAGCGCAGAGGGGGCTTTGACTTTGGAGGACAGAGCCTGCTTGAAGCGCCGCTTCAGGTCCTGCATGTTGGGAGAGCGTGGCCGCGGCGTGGTGGAGGCCCTTCTCCGCTCCCCGCTGAGGCCGTGCAGCTTGCTCACTTCTTTGCAGAGATGCTGAAACACGCCGCAGACATCTTCATAGTTTTCACTAGTGGAAATTTCAAGGAACAGGCTGCCCAGCTCGTTGGCCAGCTGAATGCCGTCATGCGTGTGCACCTGCCGGTCATGCAGAAGGTCCCCCTTGTTGCCCACGATGATGACGGGGGCTTTCGAGTCGGGGTGGACCTTGCGGATGTGCTGGTACAGGGGCCGGATGGACTGGTAGCTGTCGTAGTCTGTGATGGAATAGACTAGCAGGAAGCCTTCCGCCCACTGCATGCATTTGGACAGGGAATCGGAGACCTTGGGGAGGCTATCTTGGATCTGAGAAAAGATGAGATCAAAATGAGATCCAGTCAAGGAAGCCCTCCCCGAGACGAACCCAAAATGACATCAAAGTAACCCTTGAAGACATGCTTGCAAAAGAAATCGCTAAATAGACTTTCCAGGTTCTCCCACGCTTCTGCAGAAGGAGGCTTTTGACGCGGAAAGGGCAAATTCTCAGGCAAACGCCATGCCTGCCTGGGTTGTTTGATTAGCTGTTATCAATGCATTATTTTTAAACCCCTGGCTTGACAGGCAGTCTCTGGTGAGCTGTGCCTGACTGAAGAATGTCCTCAGACCAGAATGGCTCAACTTTTAGGAAACTAACTCATGATAAACAAAACTTTGAAAGTCAGCCAAGATAAATAGCTATTCCCCAAACCATAAAAATATTTTTAACATGCACTTCTTGAGAATGTTACAGAAACAAATTCCTTTCTCTGGATTCTTCCACAAGACCTTTCCTCCCTAGAAGGGAGTAGCAATTAGCAACTTATTAATCAAGTTACATTCCTGACGGCAATTCCTAACTTGAGGGGACAGCCAGTAACAGAAGCACTTCAGCAGTTCTTGCCAGAGAAGACCCTGTCCCACCAGAATCCTACCTACTTTGTTTTTTTAATGTTTGTTTGTTAGAGACTGGGTCTCCCTCTTTCTCAGGCTGATCTTGAACTCCTCAGCTCAAGCCATCCTCCCACCTTGGCCTCCCAGAGTGCTAGGATTACAGGTGTGAGCCACCGCCCCCGCCTTCTTCTTCTTTTTTTTTTTTCTTAATGGGTGCATGAAGTGGGCTCTGAAAGAAGTGGTGAGACCCGCCGAAGCAGTGATGGCCCGCTAGGGGGGCAAAGAGGAGTTAAGGTCGGGTGACTGACAGAGGAAGCGGCTTCTAACCACCCCCTCCCCCTTAGAGGGTTTCTAACCCCCCAACCATCAGCCCCACCTGCGGACAGCCCCCTCCTACACCGAAATATCGCAGCGCCTTCAGGCTTGCTCAGGCCCCGGTGCCCAGCGCGGGCGCCCCGCATGCTGGGTCCCCGGGGTGGCCTGGGGGGGTGAGCGTTTCCTCCTGCAATCCATACCTGGATGCCCCCGGGGGTGTCCTGGATCTGCAGGGATAACTGGTCCCCCTCTACATAGACGAGCCGTGAATACAGTTTGCCTGGAGAACGGAGAGTTTGCTTTGTAAATTCTCACCACGTCAGGAAAGGAAAAATTAAAAATGCAGGCACAAAAGCGGGGAGCATGAAATTGTTCTAACCTGTGTTCGGTTCATAGTCGCCAATGAATCTCTTGGTCAGGAAGCGCACGATCATCGCTGAAAAGGAAATAGGAAAATCAAAGGAAGGAGCGGTGACCGCGGGACAGCGCCGGAGCCGGAGGAGCGACTTGCGACCCGCGGCTCTGCCCGCGCCCCAGGGCTCCGCGAAGGCGCGGCCGCAGGGACACTGCCTCCCGGCCCCACTCTCCAACCGGCGCCACCCCCGGCCAGAGCCCGGGGCAATGCCCCGGCGAGGCAGCCAGGGACCAGGCCGGGACGGACGGGGACCCTCCGAGCGCGAGGACGCGGGGTGCCAGCCGTCTGTCCTCCACCCTGCGGCCGCCGCCGGGTGGGAAGCCCCGCGCGCTCCCGCCGCACTCACCGCTCTTGCCCACGCGGCCGGCGCCCAGCACGGCCAGCTTGATGTCCTTGGGCAGGAGGCAGTCGGGGGAGGACTCGGGGATGGGCGCCAGCAGAAAGTGCCCGGACATGCTGAGCGGCCGCATGGAGCGCGCGGGCCTCGCCCGCACCCGGGGTCCGCTCGCGGGCAGACAGCGCGGGGACCAGGGGGCCGGGACGGTGGCGGCTGCCAGCGGGACTGTCCAGGCCAGCTGCTTTTAAAGGGCTCGGACAGCCGCGGGGACTGTGACGGCCTCCAGCTCCTCCTCTTCCCCGCCCCTTCCCGGGGCGGCGGGGAGGGGCAGGCGGGAGCCGGGGGAGTGGAGGGGCTGTCACCGCGGGCGTGCGCCCGCATCACTGCTTGACGCGCTTTGCTGGCAACCTGCTGCTGCGGGCCGGGGACCTGGGATGACGCCACTGTCCCTGGAGCGCTCGGCGGCCCCTGGGGCCGGCCTAGCCCTGCTGTCGCCTGCGCCCCGCGGCAGCCCCTTGGGTCACTCGCCCCGTCGTTGAACCGAGTTATGGACTGATGGAGGGAAGGAAGAGGAAAAAGTGTAATCAGTTGCATGCTTTTGCAGAGGGACAGCTTCCTGTCGAATGGTGCCCTTTTTATTATTTTCAAAAGGTGATGAGAGGCAACATTAATATGGAAAAAGGGAGGGAAGGAGCAAGAGCCCTGAATTAGTATCAGAGGAGGTAATTGCAGTCGCTGTGACCTGGCTAGGGATAATAAGTGAAGTCCCCTGGTGGCTCAGCACCCAAAGCAGCCCCTTCCCCTCCAGCACCGGTGGAACTGAACGACTCTTTCCTGAACTCTCCAGGGGACGTTCCACCGTCTGCAAGCTCCGGCTCTGGACTGACTCTCCAGTGTTAATGCTGCCCTCTGTGCTTGAGTCAGGCGTTTGCCGCACTCCTCAAGATTTACTTCGCGGTGCGTGGTGGAGTTTAGGGTGGGGGTGGGGAGTGGGTGGAAGAGTCTTTTCCTGCATGACGAACCACACAGAATTTAATGGCTTAGAACAGCAATCAGTTATAGTTGCTCACAAGTCTACAGGTCAGTGGCTGAGCTCTTTGGTGAATCTGCAGAGAGCCTCCAGGTTCAGGTGGGTGGGAGGAGGATGGCTGCTCCAGGGCAGCCTCCCTTGGTCAGGCAGCTGGCTGTTGGCTGCCATGGCGGGAGGGCAGTGACAGGGAATCATGTCTCATCGTCCAGCAGGTGGGCCAGGGTTTGCTCCCGAGGCGGCTGAGCAGAGTTCCACAAGAATGAGTGGAAGTGGACAAGGCCTCTTAAGACCCGGGCTCCAGGGTGGAACCCATCAGTTTGGCTGCATTCTGTCGGCCAAAGCAAGTCGTGAGGCCAGCCCAAATTCAAGGGGTACAGAAGTACATTCCACTCCTTTGCGGAAAGAGCAGCAAAGTCACATTTGAAAGGGCTGGGATGCAGAGTGGTAGAGGATGCTGTCCATGTTTGCAGTTGACCACACTAACGAACGTGTCTCCCTCCACTCAGTAGCCCAAGCCTAGGGGGCCGTCCTTGACTCTAGCCACTTCCTCTCTTCCACACTGGTTAACCACCAAGTTCCATCACCTCACCTGCCTACGTTTCTTGGTGTCCCCTCCTCCCTATCCCTACTGCTCTCCTCATTTCTCAAATGAAGACTGCAATTATCTTGACGTAGACTAGAATAGATGGTGACTCAGTGTACCTGTCCCTTCCTTGGGGAAGCTGTCCCCAATCACTGCCATCATCCCTGCCACTCCCTTGCAGTTACTCACTCTCAGGGAACCCTCGGCAGCGCTGACCTCCACTGTCATTACTCTCTGGTGGAATGTTTGTTTCATGTCTGTCTCCAGGAGGGCAGGCACTGTGGCTTGTGTCTCCAGTACCCAGCACGTAGTGGTAGCGGGGATGGCAAGGCCCTTCACATGTGTCTGCTCACTGGCTGACTTTCTGAATGAATAAATGTATGAATGATGTTTTCACTGTATGAACTGGAATGGACAGGAGTTGTGTTCATGATCATTGTCCCAGTGCCTTGGTTTTTTCTGTTTTTTTTTAATTTATTTTTTTGAGACAGAGTCTCGCTTTGTTGCCCAGGCTAGAGCGAGTGCCGTGGCATCAGTCTAGCTCACAGCAACCTCCAACTCCTGGGCTCCAGCGATCCTTCTGCCTCAGCCTCCCGAGTAGCTGGGACTACAGGCATGCGCCACCATGCCCAGCTAATTTTTTCTATTAGTTGGCCAATTAATTTCTTTCTATATTTATAGTAGAGACAGGGGTCTCGCTCTTGCTCAGGCTGGTTTCGAACTCCTGACCTCGAGCAATCCGCCTGCCTCAGCCTCCCAGAGTGCTAGGATTACAGGCGTGAGCCACCGCGCCCGGCCCCAGTGCCTTGGTTTTGAGTGCAACCTGCTCTCAGGAGGAAGTAAGTGTCCCAGGAAACGTCCTGAGATGAACTGCCATATTTAAGCTGTACAAACCTGTGGCTGTTCACAAAGCAATCTCCTTCCGTGCACCTGCAGTTTAACTGGAAAGACTTGAAGCAGGGCACCCTCCTCCCTGATGGAGGAAAAGGCATCACAAAGACAATGACTGCTCGGGGAACGGGCCAGGGGGGCGTGGTGCTGCTCCGTGACAGAGGTCTGGGCTGTTGTCTCTCAGATTCTCTTGACCTTCCTGAATTCAACATGGCCCTGCAGCAACAAGTGCTCGCCCAAATAGGGAGGGAAGGAAGGACTCTCTTGCTTTGTCTCTTATGAAATAAAACAGTTCTGACAAGAACTCGGCGGGCTTTCCCTTACACCACACTGGCCAGAGCAGTGAAGCTGGGAGAGGGATTATCCAGGAATCTAGCCCAGACAACGGGATTGCCTTGACCAGCTGGGACAACTATGGTTCCTCCCCAAGCTGAATACATCCATCGTAGCTACCCCCATTCAAAATCAAGAACTAGGCCAGGCACAGTGGTTCACGCCTGCAATCCTAGCAGTCTGGGAGGCCAAGGAAGGCTGATCTTTTGAGCTCAGGAGCTCAAGACCAGCCTGAGCAAGCACGAGACTCTGTCTCTACTAAAAATAGAAAGAAATTGGCTGGACAACTAAAAACATACAGAAACAATTAGCCAGGCATGGTGGCGCATGCCTGTAGTCCCAGCTACTCAGGAGACTGAGGCAGGAGGATCGCTTAAGCCCAGGAGTTTGAGGTTGCTGTGAGCTAGGCTGACACCACCGTACTCTAGCCCAGGCAACAGAGCGAGACTCTGTCTCAAAAAAAAAAAAAAAAAAAAAATCAAGAACTAGAATAGAGAATGACTGTTGGGCAGCAGCCAATGAGACCTGCCATAAACCTTCTTTGCTTTCCTAGAGTTAAAATGCAGCACATTCAAGGGAGAAGAAAGCGCTTTCTTGGTTGAATCTTGAGTGTCTCTGTCTCTCCTCACCTCATTCCCTGTTTTACATTCCCTGTCTGGAATAAGACCATTTTAGTTCACAGCCACCTAATAAGGAAGATTATTGAAGACTGTTCTCTGCCCAGTGATATTTATGTTCCATTTTGCATTTACATTGCACCTTTGCTCAGAAGAACTCAAAATGTTATTCCATTCTCCTTGGAAAGGCTTTTTGTATGCACGAATACACAAGATAATCCGTGACCTTCTAGTGAAGACAATAAGCTACTGAATTGTAGAATTATAAATAGCCTTGGCTAAATTGTTGCTGCTTGCATTCTGCTATCTCACTTTAGATTTCTTTGTGTCCAGAGTTATGTAAACTACGGTGCAACCAATATTAACACAGGCATGCTGAAGAGGTTTCAAAAAGATAATAGAAATGCGTAGGCATAGATACAGATACACAAATCCGTGGGTGTTTAGAATGAGTGTGAAGGGCAGAATTTGGTAATATGCAAATAATGCCAGACGTGGGAAGTTGTTAACTCTTTGCCAGCCAAATAAAAGCTTAAATGTTAGCCCTCAGGCAAAACGTTGCTAAGGGCCCTCCTCTTGTTCATGAACCCTTCTCCCATCCATAGCACAGTGCCAGCCACCTTTCCTCTGTGTGCTAGGTCCTGGAGCATGGAGTTTACTGCCTCGGAGCCACCGTCTTTTAGGTGCTCTCCAAAAACAGGAGTCATGCCTCTGCCTTCTACCTGCTCCCCACGTGATCCCAGCTCAACAGGCGGAATTACTGAAGTCTACTCTCTGCAAGGCAGAACACAAAGAACAGCAGACACTTTCTGGGGGACGGCAAGGTATGGACACTTCTGCCTGCCTTCACGGACTTCCCTGTAGTGGGGAAATTAATCAAATTACTGTTGAGTTTACCAACAAGTTCTCAAATAGTATCTTAATCCTCACTTAATCTTAATTCTTAATTAATCCTGTGAAACAGGTAAAGAAAATCTTCTAAATTAAAGTTCAGACAAGTCGAGTAACTTACCCAAAGTCATAGAGCCATTTAATGGCGAAGCCCCCAAGCCCTCTGATTTCAAATCTTGGCACTTTCCAACAGTGTGGAGGGCAGGATAAAGACTGATGTAGTTAGTAAGTGGGAGGCCAGGGCAGGCCAGGGTGCAAGCTCCAACGGAGCTGCCACAGGGAATGTTAGCTCTAACTGGGTGTCAGGGAAAGCTGCAGGGAGCAACGAGCTGGTGTGCAAGCCTGAGTAATATGTGATAGGTGGAGACCAGTGGAGGGTGAAGGCAAGTCAAGGTGAGGGAACAGCATGTGCAAATTTATGAAGGTAAATGGCAAGTTTAGGGAACTCTGAGTAGTCTCAAAAGTGAGAACTATGTGGTGGGTGCCCCAAAAGGTTGGGGACCAGACTGTGGATGGCAATGAATGCCATGCTAAAAAAAATGTACTGGGAGGCTATGGAAAGCTATTACCCTGTTCTTGTAGAGGATAGCTCCTTCTACAGTCTTTCTCCATATCCAAGAGGCATTTGTTCCAGGACACGCTCAGGATACCAAAATATGAGGATGCTCAAGTTCCTGACATAAAAGGGTGTAGTAGCTGCATATAACCTTTGCACATCCTCCCAAATGATTTGTTTATTTATTTAGAGACAGGATCTTGCTCCGTCACCCAGGCTGGAGTGCAGTGTCACAATCATAGCTCATTGCAGCCTTGAACTCCTGGGCTCAAGTGATCTTCCTGCCTCAGCCTCCTGAGTAGCTGGGACTATAGGCATGTACCACCAAGCCCAGCTAATTTTTTTTTTTTCATTTTTTATAGAGACAGGGGATGGGTCTCACTCTCTGTTGGGAAAATATGCTTGAGGAATTAGTGAGATGTGGCTCATAAGACCATTATTTTATTGTATAACCCGATATTACTATATTAAAGACAGAAACAGGAGTTTGCAGGGTTTTGCCCTGAAGGAATGTGTGAACTCAATGGTTCACTTTATTAAAGGTTGCTATCATGGGAGAGCTCTCACATCTCCGGCGGGGATGTTTTCCAGGAAGGCTTCCCCGTATCTCAAAATCTGCGAGCTTCTCTGTGTCTTAAAAGACAAGATAGGCAAATATGGCCCACAGGATGGGAGCCGGAGACAATGAGTGCACTTTGCCCAGAGATGCGCCCCGGTGGTTATAAACAACCTGTTTATTAGAGATGGGCTTCCTGGTCTCTCCTGTCTACCTTTAAGTCCACCATAACTAATCAAAGAAACATTGTGGTAGAAGCTTACAAAGAATAGGATATGCTCTCTGCTCTCAAGAATCTTAAAACTGTTTACTTACTCATCACCCATGAGCAATTAATTTAATCTAAACCTCTCTTCCTTCTCTGGTGGAACAAAAAAAATAAATCCAAATTGCATGTTCACTTGAGCTAAGTCATCATCTCATTTTACAGAGACAGTAAAGAGTACCCCATTTCACTTCTTTTCCAATCCAAATGATGTCCATAAATTCCAGTCTTGCTGGAGATATATGAGCACATTTTCTCTGTGCCTGTTAGGTTAGTTAGTGGCTTTGTAGGATGGCCTGAGAGTGGGCCTCAGCACACACTTTTGCTGTTTGAAGGGAATCCAGTACAGAACCACGGCTGCTTCTTCACTGCTGCACGCACATGTCCCACCTCAGCAATGACAGCTGCAGATGCTGCCTCACTGTTACTATTCATAGCCTAGCCGCTTGTCTAGCAGGTCCGTGGAGAAGGTTGTTTGCATGAACAATACCAAATTTTTTTCCTCTTTAAGTGGGGCTGGGGATGAAGGAATATGCTATAAACATTTATATTCCAAGTAATTCAAACCTAGTTTCAAATTATTTCTCTTGTGCTTAAAAAAAGAATAAGATAAACCTACCTTGTTTATTATATCTTAGCAGTTTTTATTGCTTAATTTTAGCAGTCGTTTATATTATACTTTAGCATTGTTTTCCATCCTAGTGCAGAGAAAATGGTAAACACTAGTGGGAATATGGAAAAGATACAAACCTATGAACTTGAGTGTTTTTTTTTTGTTTGTTTTTGCCACAACATTCAAAGGGAAACTTCAAAAAAGGAGTGTGATATATTTTATACTACCCTTGAGAGTGATTTCAACTGAACAATAACAAAAGGCCTTAGAAGATACCTGGCTAGATCAGAAGAGATAGAGTCAAAGCTCAAGAAGCCACACAGCCTTATTTACAATCGTAGTCCTTATTAACTTAAAAACAAGGTGAAAAGTTTTATATGTAGAATATTTTTCTTCATGTTCACTGACAAGTGTAAGAAAAGAGAATTGGATGGTAAGGGGTTCATTTACAAATTCACAGTCTGTTGCTCATTATTTAAAAGGACCTGCATTTCAATGTAGACACATTTCATCAAAACACAAATATATTTCTGAAAGCTCAGAGGTTTCAACTTAATTCATCTCCCCACTTATAAAACTTTCTGATCTGCAGGACATCCAGATGGAGCTGCCCAAGAGGGAGATGGGAATACAGACCTGGAACTTCAGAGAATGTGAGCTCTGCAAGTTAAGGCTCAAGAATATCAGAGAAGTCTAAAAATGTATAATAGTTGTGTGGTTCTCACACTTGAACATGCATCTTAATCACCTAGAGGGCTTGTTAAATACAGGGTGCCAGGCCCCACCCCCAGAATTTCAGATTCAGTAGGTCTGAATTTTTTGTATTTTTCTTTTCTGGGGGGAGGGTCTGCATTTTTAACAAGACCCTAGATGCTGTTGACGTTGCCCACTGGGAGACCATGCTTTGAAAACCCCTGGCTTAGCTAACCCAGGAAGAACTTACAGAGAAGGAAAAGACTGGCAAACATAGAGCATCAGTGAGGAGCTAGAACGGGCAGCAGGGCGAGGGGCGTGGGGTCACATATGCAGAAGAACCTGAGTAAAGTGTGATGGCAGAAGCCTCTGGAAGAGAAAAAATTGTTGGCTCTGTCAAATATTATAGAGATAAAATTAAATTGGGAAAATGACTCTACATTTGTTAATTAGCAAGTTTTTGGTAACCTTTAAGAATACAGTCTCATCAGAGTTGTGGAGGCGGAAGCCAAATTTGCAGTAGGCGACCAGGAAATTTAGCTATGAAAGGAAAGAGGAAATCAACCAAGACTGCTTGGTTGATTTGCCGGTTCTCATAATCTGTAGGTTTAAGTCAAGGAACAGCAAGTGGAAAGGGTCAAGCATACAAGAGAGGCAGGTCACGGTCAGTGAAACAAGAGCCCTGTCAATACAAGCTGTCTCCCCTCCAATATCTTATTTTGCCTTGTTTTATGCAGGTAGCCAGTCTACTTCTCCTCCCACATTGTCACCTCCTTAAGGAATAGGGCTTTATTGTCTGTCTCCTTTCCCATCCTTCCCCAGTAGAGTAGGCACCAGTAAATATTCCCTTACCTAAATAAGGGAGAGCTATAGATACAAGTTGATGAAAACTTGGACCACCCACCCAACAAGATAAAACATATTGGGTAGTGATAAGAACTATAAATAATAAAGAGATATAAAATGATGAAGGAAGTTTGTATTTTTGTAGGATGTTAAGGGGCAGTCTTGATAAAATTTAAGCAGAGGCTAAAAAGAGAAAGAGGACAAGAGCAAGCCATGGGGATCTATGAAGGAAAAGCATTCCAGACAGAGGAAACATCAAGCACAAAAGCTCAGAGGCAAGAATGTACCTGGCATATTAAAGGCACAGCAAGGAGGCTAGAATAATGGACCTGACTTTGGGGCTGGAAGTGGTACAAGATTAGGTCACGAAGGTAGCCACAGGACAGATAAAGTAGAGTTTTGTAGCCAGGGTAATTGCCAGGATATAAATGGTATTCAAAGCTGGGAGGCTACATAGCATCTGGAGTATAAAGGCACTTCAGTATTTGGAGGTCAGAAAGACAGTGAGATCCAGCAGACTGCAGAGGAGCTGAAGGAAACCAGAAAGTGTTCCAGAAGCTAACTGAAGTCAAACCCAATGATAAAGAAATGTAACATTCTCTCCTACCAAGTTAGCAAAGACTAAATTATAATAATAGTCAATGCTGATGAGAATCTTATGAGACAAGCATTTTAATTCATTGGAGATTAGAGTGCAAACTGGCACTTTTCAGGAAATCAATTCATCAAAATGAATCAAGAATTTGGAAAACACATTTTTTAACCCTGTGTTGTGCTTGTGAGAAAACCTATCTTTAAAGATTAATCTGTGCTCCCTTTAGCAGCACATATGCTAAAATTGGAATGATACAGAGATTAACATGGCCCCTACACAAAGATGACATATAAATTCATGAAAAAATCCATTAAAAAAGATTAATCTAAAATACCAAAAAATTTTATGCACATAGTATTCTCATTTTTTAGAAAATTGCTATGCTAGATATCAAATGTTTTCATTTCCTGAATATTTGCCTTAAGGATTACAGTTCCCCCAAGCCAGTTCTATTTGTCACTCTTCCTTTTCTCAGTGTCCAACTTCACCAGCCCTCCTGAATTGAGGCATCTTATACCACCATTTTCTCTCTGACAAGTAAAATTATATTTTATTTCACCTGGTCATGGTAAAACATGGAATCATAGACCCTAAGTGCAGAGGACCTCTACAAATCATGTGTTCCAATCCCCTTTACTCATGTAGGTGATCATTTTACAAAAGGTGAGGGTAACACAACTTGTTGGAGAATGAACAAAGGAAATGTTTGAGGTCAACTGATCTTTCCACATCACATGGGAGATTTAACAATCCCAATTACTCATGAGCAAAATGGTCACTAGCCCTTAAAATTAAACACTACAGTTTTATAGAGTCCAAGGGAAAATAAGATTGAACATTTAGAAAAGTCTATTCATCTTTTTAAAAAAGAGCAGTTTTTCTCATTAATCCTTTCATTAATTGAAAAAGCATTTATTGAATGCTTACCATGTACCAGGCACCACTAGTGCAAAGTTTAATAAGACATAGTTCCTAACCTCAGGTGTAGTGGGGAAGACAGAAGTTTAAGAAAATATAAACACTGTCAAGAAGCAAATACAGTTGGAGAAAAAAAAAAAACAGAAGCAAATACTGTTGGAGAAAAAAAAAAAAGCAAATACAGGCCAGGTGCGGTGGCTCATGCCTGTAATCCTAGCACTCTAGGAGGCCGAGGCGGGAGGATCACTCAAGGTCAGGAGTTCGAAACCAGCCTGAGCAAAAGCAAGACCCCATCTCTCCCAGGCAACAGAGTGAGACTCTGTCTCAAAAAAAAAAAAAAAAAAAAAGAAATACATCTGTCATGGAAACAAAGATGTAGGTTTTATTCAATCAACTCAAACCAGAAGTAATTTCTCTGCTCTCTGATTCCAAGCACTTTCTTCATTACTCTTAAAATACTTGCAACAGGGAAGGTATTGCCTATAACAGTTAAGGTAAGTGTTGAAAGACAAATAAGGATTTCACCAATTGAACAAAGGAAAGTGTAGGTATTTAAGGCAAAGGGACTAGAAAAAACATAATTTTTTCTAATAGCTAAAGCATAAAGTAGGAAACATTAACAGAAAGTGAAAAAGGAAAAGTTTAGCAGGAACCAGATTACAAAAGTTCACGTGATGGTAACACAGGTGTTTGTACACGTCCAAACTCATCAGATTGTACACATTAAATATCAATCATACCTCAACAAAGCTGTTAAGAAAATAGCATGGTTTTACAGATGTTGCCCGGCACCACCACCCACCCATCACCACATGCAGTAACATTGGAGTCATTTGGTCTCCATAATGGAGAGTCAAACAGCACCATCATTAAAAGAACTCTTTGGCATGAGAGCATCAAGGGTTCAAGTCCCAGCTCTGCCACTTTCTGGCAGAGTGAGCACAGACTAGTTATTTTTCCTTCTTGAGTCTTTTATCTCACTCATAAAACATGGTAATCCCCATGTCTCAATGCTGTCATGATAAAATAGACCAATCAGTCAAAACATATTAAGACCATAATTACCAATCCATTAACAGGGCTCACCTTTTTAAAGTATGACCTCTCAATTCTATAAATAGTAGTTAGGGAAAGAATACAGCATCTCCTCCGCACCAGCCTCCCAATAAAGAGTGGGTCATATATACCCTTAAAAACTAACTTAGGAGTTTTAAGCTAGCTGGAGAGCAATGACTTAATTTTGAACTTCCAAAGTACTCCTGACTGGCAGTTGTAGAGAAAACTTGCAAAGTTCTCAATTAGTAGATTATGAAATAAAAGCTTGTAGTTACTGAATACTCACTGTATGACACCAATGCTTTACAAGTGGTCCCATCGAATCCTCATAATCTCCCTTTAATGGGGCAACTTTAATAACCTCCTTTAAGGGAAAAAAAACGAAAAAAAAGGGCCAAACAAATAACAAAAAAAGAAAAAAAAGAAAGAAGAAAAGGGGAAACCGGAAACCGCCAAAAAAAAAAGAAAAAATAAAAACAAAATAAAAGAACAGAAAGGTACAAGGGATGGATGTGAAAAACATTCAGGATAAAAAAGACAATTTAAAAATATGTGAAGGAATATGTCAACAGTTTAAGATGACTTCAACTGGGCATACTTTTGTTTGTGCCACAAACTTCAAAAAGGAAAATACAGAACAAGAATAGTAGCTGATGCAATAGCATTGCTTTTGGTGGTAGTAGTGAGAAATGGAAGATAAACTTCCCACTGACCAATATGATCATGTGTTTAAATGCAACCCTCTGCTACTACAATGTGAATCCTCAGGGGCAGTTAGTAACTACCACTGATTCTGACAAGTGTTCAATGAGATTCAAATTCAGGTTTGCTGGACTCCTAAGCAGTACCTGTTACCTCACTTCATTAAGAAAAGCTCAAGGCTACCAATGAGGCTCTTTTCCCCTTTCAGGGGTGGGGAACCTGTAGCCTCAGAGAAACATGAAGCCTTGGATCCTTGAGTGTGGCCTTTTGACTGAATCCTAATTTTACAGAACAAATCCCTTTATTAGAAGGATTTGTTCTGAGAAATTTGGATTGCGTTGAGGGGCTACAGGTTACCCACTAATGCGTGTTAGAGAAGACCAGTGAGGACAATGGCTCAACGAACAAGGTTAGAGTTATAGTTAATGGTTTTCAAAAAAGGACAAAAAGCACACATAAGTAAATCAAGGTTCCTATTTCAAGTAAATGGAATGCTAGGGTTTAATCACGTCCCCTCCAAAACTCATGTTTAAACTTAATTCTCATAGTGGGTGTATTAAGAGCTGGAACTTCTGGGTAAGTGAAGGCCACACCCTCATGAATGGACTAGTGCCTTATAATACAGCTGGAGCGAACTAGCAGAGGCCCCTCCCACCTGAGGGAAAAGGAATCAATGCTCACGTTGGATACCATATAGTAACTAGGAACCACTTTTGAAGCACAAACCAGGCCCTCATCAGTTGCCAAACCTGCCAGCCCCTTGCCTTCAGAAAAATGAGAAATAAATTCCTATTGTTTACCCAAGTCTGTGGCAATTTGTCACAGCAGGATAAATGGCCTATGACAAATGCCATCACACTACTGTTTTCTGAGCCCCATTTCATGAATGCCCAAAGCAATTCTAAACTGGTATGTAATTCAGAGAATAGGGTGCTCTAAACAATCCACTTTTAATTAGTAGGCTTCAAAGGCAAACTCTAGGATCCTTAAACTCTAGCTATTCAAATTATGATACAATTATGGGAACCAACTTTCCTCAAGCTTACCTGAAATGCAATAGATAACCTTCCCACTTATTTTGTTGCACAATAAGCCACCTCAGGCCAGGTGTGGTGGCTCACGCCTGCAATTCTAGCACTCTGGGAGGCCAAGGTGGGTGGATCATTTGAGCTCAGGAGTTTGAGACCAGCCTGAGCAAGAGGGAGACCCCGTCTCTACTAAAAATAATTAGCTGGACAACTAAAAATAAAAAAGATTAAAACAAAAAGCCACCTCATACCTTTCAACAAGGTACACCCTAAATTTGCATAATAAAGACATTACACAATGAATAAATTAGTACACAATTAAAATTTGCTTTAAATATTTCTTTGGGGAAGGGGCCACCACACTTCTACACAATGAAGAGAAACATTTTTAGAGTCCAGCGGCTTTTATTAGGTTTGTCTCCTATAGACCACAACCTATTCACGAATTCATGGATGGGGAATCATGTAAGAGACCCTGGCAGCACCTCAAGGTCCTTTCTTTGCTTCTCCAGGTGTGCTATACTATTACCCATGAATTCACAGGGAACAGGTCCCACACCGCAGGCTCACTGTCTCGCTTCTCACAAAGTGTGAAGCACCTATATGGCCATGAATTCATAAGAATAGGTTCCAGCAGCTCGGCTCCTTCCATTGGTCTCACACAGAAGGTGTCTTCGATTGGAGTGAAGCAGTAGATTCAAAGAAAAAGGGATAAAACTGACCTTAATAGCTATGTAGACAGGAAGTATTTCTATAAATTCAACTTTGAAAGAGCTGCTCTGCTCCTACGCATCAATGAGACATGTTACACTCTGTATTTCTTAATACTTCATAGCGGAGAAGGGGAAGAGATATTCAGGGGCCAGCAGCTTTCAAGCTTTGGGTGTAGTCAGCTCAAGCCATGTAATCCTAGCACTCTTGGGAGGCCAAGGCAGGAGGACTGCTCGAGCTCTCAAGTTCGAGACTAGCCTGAGCAGAGTGAGATCTCGTTTTCTGACTTAGAAGAACAAGGGGAAGAAAAAAAAAAACAAAATCTCGCAGCAGCGGTGCGATTGAGCTCTAAGCATAAGGTATCCCAGGGGTCACGCTACAGGGAGGCTGAGGCAGGAAGCGCGCCTGGGAGATCGAGGGACGCTTGCGTGAAATGGAACACCTGCAATCTACCCAGGGCAGGGAGTGAGACTGTCTCAAGAAAAACAAACCAAGCAACTGAGCACCCCTCCTCACAACCCCCAACCCCCTACCCCTTCTAAAAAAAAAAAGTTAAATTAAAGAAATGGTATCTGGCGCCGTCAAGTCTCTACCTGTCGCTGCTTCAGAGTCTGGATCGCGTTACCCTTTTTCTTTGGCTTCCTCTCCTATATTTCTGGATCATCCTCTTCCTTCACTACGCTTCAGGAAGCTATCTGGCGCCTTAGAGTGGCTTAATGTTGCGTTCGATTTACGTCACATGGCCGGTAATCTCTGGCTAAGTAATCTTGCCTGAGAGAGCAGAAATTCTTTTAAGTGCTTCATCAAAGAACTATAACAAATATTCGCATAGAGGAGACATGTTTTTGGCGTAGTCGCTTCGAGTCCTCTCAAATATTAGATGCTCATGCCTCTCCCCTGTGACGCTGCAGGTCTGAGTCCCTTAAGCCTGCTCGGCTGCCCTAACCTGCCGGTCTGGCTGTGGTGTTTTGTTCAGCCAGTTTTGCTGATCGAGTGAGTGATGGAGTGAAGACGCCCAGGACCATGACTTTTACCCAGATACGATAATCAACAAGGTGGCAGCCTGAGTACTTAATTTACGATCAATTATTAATCTTACTGGAAGAGGCCTTGAGAACATTCCTACTTTTAAGCTCTGTTCTGATGAGGTGATATTCCCCCCCTTTTTTGAGACAGAGTCTCGCTTTGTTGCCCAGATTAGAGTGAGACTGCGTGGGCGTCAGCGGCTAGCTTCACAGCTAGCCTACAAACTCCTGAGCTCCAGCAATCCTACTGTCCCGCCTCCCCGCAGCCATACAGGTCAGCCTCCATGAGTACCTGTGGGCTATTAGGTCATTACGTCCACCCACTGTGGCCTTAGAGGAGAGTTTCTTGGTTAAAAGATCCGCCGCAGCTGATGGCTTTTTTTTCTTAATCATAAGCTCTTAAGCTGGTCGCAACTGACGGGGTGTCGTCGCTCATTTTGTTCAGTGCTAGTTTTGAACTCGCTGACCCTTCTAACCCTCCTGTCCCGCCTCGGTTTCCCAGTGCTAGGATTCAGCGTGGAGCCACCACATTGCCTGTCTTTCTCCAACAGCCCGGCCAGTGCAGGAGGATACCCTTTCGCAAACTCACACGTAATTTAACCAAAACCAGATCACTAATAAAATTTAAAGATTACATTTTTTTTCTCTACATGCAAAACTGCTAATAATCATACTGTCTAAGGCTTTGCAGTTAAGTCTATTTCCATTTGTTTCCTTTGACAGGATACAAGACAAACACCAGTTTGCCTGAGTTTTAAAAGGATAGGTCTTCCTTTGCGCACTTGAATGACCAACTCCCCAGCGTCAACAGACATTCAAGTCGAATTGGCAAAAGTGTACAAGGGGGCTACATAGGGAATATCCAACTAGCCACGAGAACTACATTCTCCTACTTCTCGACGTTGTCTGTTATCCGTTTTATCAACAATTCCAACAGCAATCGCTGTGTATACGCTTGTAAAGGACCCTTCCAGTATTTGCATGGGTAATCTTTAGATGGTTCTTTGTGGGGCATGGCCTTTTTGAACAGTACCAATGCTCCTTGGTCTCTCATAGGGAGCACAAATTGTTAATGACTCGGCTGGAATATCATTCTCCCTGCCTTCCTCATTTTAAACTCTTTTATTTTACAATCTTACACACATGATCGTCCTACGAGTGGTCATTTTAAATGTGCAACCCTCAGAGCTTTCAGAGCCGGTGAAATGTGTTTTTCACTTTGCTTCGAGCAATCAAAAAGATAATCATCATTAAGCTCTTGAGTGCCAGGATACACTGAACTTCTATACTAGATTAAATCCAACTTCTCTAAATTCTGTAGTGTTATTTTCCCAATGTTATAATTTACCTTGATGTCTACAATATCACCTTTCTTGTAGATTCGCATGTATGTGGCCAAAGGAACAACTCCTGCAAAATAAAAAAATTCGGTTTAGTCAGTATCAACATCCAGAGCAAAAGAAATGCAATGAGCTTTCAACACATGCAACGCTCTTGACAATTACGTACATTTTAAAATCTTGTTAATGGACAATTTCTCCTGAAAGCAAAATCAGTTTACTGAATCACACATCTCTATTCAAAGTTTAATCCTGCACTGATATTTAGTTACAAAAACTACTATATTAAATTTCTGCTTGATATATTAATAAAACACAAATGTGTGCCATGCTTGCTCTCAAGTAGGTAGACCTACTTACCATGTTTTCTAAAAGGCCTAGAGAACATGTATCGGGTGCCTCTCCTCTTTCCCTTTGTGTTCGTCATTTTGGCGAATTACTGAAACCAGAAAGTGTGACAGTCAAATACAATTGAAAATTGCCATTTGCTCCTTTAAACAGAAAGCCAATAATTTTAAATGTTTGCATTTCAGTAGCAATGTGAGAATCAGGGAACAATCTAAAAAGCTGAATCACCAATTATTTCTTTTAAAAGGCAAAAAGCACATCATTTTAGCAAATAAGCTTATGGCCAAAACTGCCAACGTTCTTTTGGATGTAAGAATCCAAACCAGTAAACTTTTCCTATTAGGACATAAAAAACACAACAGGACTTCTATCACACTGTATCTATAAAACAGTCTAATATGCCAAGGGCACTGGGATTACCAACTAGATGAAAATTTATTGGAGAACAGAGTAAAACTCAGTCTTACATTTTTATGTGGTATATAAAATACCTTTTCTTATCAGCCAAATATTCTGATAATGGGCCAGGCACAGTGGCTCCGTTATCTGTAATCCTAACACTCTGGGAGGCCAAGGTGGGCGGATCACTCAAGCTCAGGAGTTCAAAACCAGCCTGAGCAAGAGAGAGACCCTGTCTCTACCAAAAAATAGAAAGAAATTAATTGGTCAACTAAAAATATATAGAAAACAATTAGCTGGGCATGGTGGCACATGCCTATAGTCCTGGCTACTCAGGAGGCTGAGGCAGGAGGATCGCTTGAACCCAGGAGTTTGAGGTTGCTGTGAACTAGGCTGACCACACAGCACTCTAGCCCGGGCAACAGGCTCCTTGAGGCTCTGTCTCAAAAAAAAGGTGAAAAATAATTTTTAAAAATAGGAAAAAGTTTCTGATAGTGAATCATCTATTTAACTGTCAAAAATCTCAACTTGTTTCATACATATTTACTAGGAGATGTATATAGGATAGAAGGAGGGAAACCCAGACTTTATAATCATCGACCTAAATGACATACTTGCTGGGAGACCCACGTTTAAGCTCTCATCTTCATCTGTAAAATGGAGTCATTAATGCCTACAAAGAATTTAGCAATTCTTGGCACATATAAAGTGCTCAATAGTAACTAGGAGCTAATTATCAGATAAAAATCCACCTACAGGCGCTTAGTACTGAACACTTCCCCTGCTTTCCAAAAGGTCTAAACAATTATTTTGATTACTCTCTGGTAATCTAAGGGCAAAAGTGCCATTCCTGGCCATTAGTCCTACTATTAAGGCAAAATATACCATTCAGGCCTAACTTGTTGAGCTTTCTAACATAAATTGCTCTCTTAATTCGTTTTAAAGAATGACTACCAAAGTACCTTATTCATAAAATTTGTGTGGCAATAAGACAAAAGAATGTTTTAACTAGCCCACCAAAACCAAACTGGTGTTACAAGGGAAACATACTTTACTTCAAAAACACAACTAAGCAAATATTAAGTATCAGGTACCCTGTTCTAATTACCAAAGTTTCTGCATTTGTATTAAGCTCATAAACTTGTGTTAAGTTTGTAAACAAGGAGTGATGCTCTGCAGATTCGAGTCACTTTGTGTAAGTGGCAGACCAGTAATGTCCAGGCTCCTCTACTAGACCCATTTTCCTTCCTGAGTTTAAAAAAAACTCAAAAAACCATTTTCCGTCTAGACCTCATACACGTAAAATTGAATAGTTTTTCAAAACAATTCTTAATGTGGAAAAAAAAATGACACTTTAGTCTATACCAGTACCAAAAACAATGCCAACTAGGATCCACTATGGGGTGCAACCTGCAGTTTACTCAACTCCTAGTAGCTGTCTGTTAACACTCAAACTAGAAAAACAAGCAACTACACAGAAAGGGTTCGTTAAATAACTTATTTCCTGAACTTCTAAACCAGATACGCAGCTGTTCCCGAGTCCCTTTCCTCAAGTAACACACGCTGCCCTAGAGTTCACAAAACAATTACCTCCTCTGGGAAGACACTGGTGATGTAACCTTAAAGTTTATTCTCCCTTTGTTCAATATAGCCATCGGGGCCAAATCTAAAACCCATTCCTACTCCCCCTAAGTCCCTACCGGACAACACCACGAGGTTAGGGGTAAAAAAGCCGCAGCGAAAGGCGCTCCAAAGGCATCAGACCACGCGACAACACACGGCCTAACCGAGAGGCCCACCCACGATACCGTGGTTGAAGCCATGGGGACAGCAGACGAAAACAAACTCTTTTCCAAATTAACCCTAATCGCCTCACCCCCGGTGACTCGGCCTTGCCTTTCTGTCCCACTGCAGAGACGCGACACCGCAGTCCGGCCCTCAGGCCTCGGCCCCGGCCCGGCCCGACCCAGCGCACGCTGTTCGCCGTCTGGCAGGACATGGTTCCACCCACCCACACCAGCGGGCCCCAGACAGGCTAGACAGTCTCTCTACGGCCCCCATGTACAACCTCAGCAGCCACAGATTGCGAATCGAGCGTGCCGAACGCCGCAGCCACGCGCACCTCCTACCTGGAAGATGGCGGCTCCGGCCGAAAGGAAGGAGGCGGGGCCGCAGCGCGCGCCTTACAAGGGCCTGCGGGCTGCCCGCGGCGCTGCCTGAAGGAAAGAGACTGGCGCCGCCCGCTGGAAAATCTTCCCCTCTAGCGGGGAGGATTGTCCTGGAGAACAAGAAAAGTCTGTGAGGATATTTTTCCTTTCTTGAGAAAGTGAGGCAATCAGCCAACACAAGCTGACGTTTGTTTCGTGTCAGACAGCCCGGAGAGGGGCCTTCAAGAGCGCCAGACAGGACGCCGGCGTCCCGAGCGTGCCGACGTCCTTCCTTGCGTCACCGCTTACGCCGGAAGCGGGCGTGTGTCTGCGTCTCCAGACGGAAAACCGATGCTTATCCTGAGGCCTCGGTGCACTTTAAAGTGCTCGTAGCTGGTGTGTGTTTGCGGAAATGTTTGCGTGGGCACAAAAGTCACACTGTAGTGGAGTGAACATACTGTCTAGTTTGTATGTCTTTAAAAATTTTTTCTTTTCCTTACGCGTCTAAACATACGTGCTGGTAGGTGCGCAAATATTAAAACTACTTTGGAAAGCAGTTTCGCGAAATCTAGTAAAACTGAAGATTTTCTGAATACGAAACCCCAGCATTCCGCTCTTAAGTGTATCTCCTGTAGAAACTCTGCTATGTGGGCAAGGATGTACATAATAGCACTGTGGGTAGAAGCACAAAATTAGAAACGTACATCGATAAGGTACTAGATACAAAATTGGATGTTAGTAGGATGGAGTATCATATGCCAGTAAAAGAAGCCTGAACTAAGAAATACGATGGGACAAAAAGGGAAAGATGTAGAAAAAATAGTATGACAGTTCATATACGTACAATTAAAGCATGTAAACCACTGCTATGTATTGCTTAGGTATCTATGTGTAGTTAAAGTAGTCAAGGGAATGAAAATCAAATTTAGAAAAGTGGTCATGTCTGGTAAGGAAGGGACATTCAGACATTAGCTGGATTGACCATTAAGCTGGGTGTTGATTATATAGGTGGCCATTGTTTCATTCATTACATCTTTTAAAATAGGTACTTTCTTAATAAAATTTAGCTTTTAAGGTTGTTTTAGGTTTATTTTTATTTTATTTATTTAGAGATAGAGTCTGGCTCTGTTGCCTGTGCTAGAGTGCCGTGGCATCAGCCTAGCTCACAGCAACCTCCAACTCCTGGGCTCAAGCAATCCTTCTGCCTCAGCCTCCCGAGTAGCTGGGAACTACAGGCATGTGCCACCATGCCCAGCTAATTTTTTCAATATGTTTTTAGTTGTCCAGCTAATTTCTTTCTATTTTTAGTAGAGATGGGGGGCCTCACTCTTGGGCAAGCTGGTCTTGAAATCCTGACCTTGAGCGATCCTCCCGCCTGGGCCTCCCAGAGTGCTAGGATTACAGGTGGGAGCCACCATGCCCGGCCTAGATTTATTTTTAAAGTTGAGAAAATATTCCAGAAAATTTCTATGTATTTAGTATCCAGTTTCCTCTATTATTAACATCAACATCTTACACTAGTATGGTAAATTCATTGCAATTAATGAACCAATATTGTACAGTATCATCAACTAAAGTCCATATTTTATTTAGATTTCCTTAGCTTTTACCTAATACTATCTTTTTTCTGTTTCAGTATTCCATTCAGGATATCACATTACACTAATTATTATGTTGCCACATGTGCCTCTTGGCTGTGGCAATTTCTCTGAATTTCTTTATTTTTGATGACTGACAGTTTTAAGGAGTACTGGTCAGATATTTTGTAGGGTACCCTAATATTTGGAATTTGGCGTTTTTCTCATGACTGTATTATTTTTAGAATGTGTTTTTTAAAAATCAGCTAAGTGATATAAAAACCTTATCTGATTGAGTATAAATGTTACCCCATTGTTTTTGAAATTTTCATTATTTATTCTACTGATACATTGGGAGCTTGACATTTCTAAGAACTACATCAGCTCCAAATTTTTGAATTTATACATTCTGTGACCCCAATCTTCAGCCCTTAAGTCACTTGCTTGGTAACTTGAAGAGGAGTAGGATTCTGCCTTCATTCCTTCATTACACTGACTCCTCCAGCTCACTGTAACCATTAGCCCCATTTAGCTTCTATATTCATCTTTATTCAACTTAATTTTCTGTTTTTCATTATTACAATTACTCCCTTTCCACTATCTCAAGTCACTTTTTTTTTCACATCCCTCCCTTAGCACATACACAACCTTGGATAAATGTGACCATTGTCTCCATGACAGCACCTCTATGGTTGAGTATTGTTGAAGAAAATCTTGTGAACAGACCAACTGGTGTGACTACACATCACGAACTGTTCATCCCAGGGCTGTACTTTTTGCACTCAGAAATGTTTTCTTCAATCTATAGTGTGTTTTGTAAGTTAAGATATATTACATTTTTTTAAAAAAATCAAAATTTCTGGCTTCTCTTGAAAAATTAGGAGATCTGGCAACATAGGGCTGTCAGTCTTTTTTTAAGAGACAGGATCTTGCTCTGTCACCAATGCTGGAGTACAGTGGCCTGATCATAGCTCACTATAACCTCAAACTCCTGGGCTCAAGCCTCCTAGGTAGTTAGGACTAGAGGCACACAGCTAATTTTTTTTTTTTTTTTTTTTTTTTAGAGATGAGGTCTTGCTGTGTTGCCCAGGCTGGTTTAGAACTCCTGGCCTCAGGAAGTCCTTCTCAAAGTGCTGGGATTACAGGTGTGAGCCACTACGCCGACAGTCTTGAGGGCAATCCAGTGCCTACTTCAGTCATTTACCTGCTTGCCCCTGTAGGCATTTGAATTTCTAATCCCTGCCATACATTCATGATCAGTCATTCTTAAATGGGTACCCAGTACAGTTAGACTCTTGAACAACATAGGTTTGAACTGTGTGGGTCCATTTAACTTACATGCAGATGGAAAATACAGTATTTGGGGGATGCAAAACTATACTATGGAGAAGGGCTGACTTTTCATATGTCAGGTTCCACTGAGCCCACTGCAGGTCTTGAATATGCAAAGATTTTGGTATATATGGGGGTGGGAAGCTAGAACCCATCTCCCATGTATGTCAAGGGATGACTCCAGTGTTTAGCATCCTCACCTGGTTCAAGAGTGAGTGTGCTTAACCTGCTCTCTTTAAAGGTTATTTCACATCACTCCTTTGATTGTTAGATCTCCCATCCCTTCTCCCTTCCTTTCTTTTAGCTGATGACTGCCTTAGTTTTTCAGTACAAACATGCTCTGGTCTTTCCACCCAAAACTCAGAGCTCTCCCCTTTCTGGCTGTGATTGGCCTCATATTCCCTTACAATTACTGCCCCATATTTTCATTTTTCCTCTGTCATACTAAGAGTTATACGAAATTACTGCTTTTGCACATCAAAAACTGCCAGGTTTCAGCAGTATCATATGGTTTAACTAAATATATGAACACTGTCATCTTTTGCTCATCTCCCATTCTGTTTTCAGTATAATCTGATTTTTTCCCAGTCACATCACTATCTTTTCCAGTCACACCATTAAAACTGCTTTTATCAAGACATCAATTGCTTCCATGTTGCCAAAACTAAAAGGCATTTCCTATTCTTGTCTTCCTTGATCTCTCAGAAGCATTGGACTGGGTTGGCTACTTCCTCCTCCTTGAAACACTACCCTTCCTGATCACTCCAGTCTATAGTTTACTGGTTTTCCCTCCTCGGTCCTCTAGAGAATAGATTTATTTGGGTCTTGGAACTAGTCCCCTGCTCTTCTCTTTCTATACTGTCTTATGTACTTTTGTTTAACTCGGATAATTTAAAATTTCATCTCTGTGCTGCCTAATACCAGATTAATTTCTTTAATTTCAGCATTTCCTCAAAACTTCCATTTAACTTGATATCTATTCTTGGATCCCCCTTACCATCTCAAAGTTAACATGTTTAAAATAAAACTTTTGATCTTCACCCCAAAGCCTGTTTCTGCTACAGTATTTCCCATGTCAGTAAATAACATAAGCAAGAAACCTTGGATTCATCTTTAAGTTTTCCATTATCCCCTTCGTATCAAATCTATCGGCAAGTTTTGTTCTAGTTCCACTTATAAAACATATCTCCAGTTGCCCTACCTCTTTCCATCTCTTTGGCCACCACCACTGGCATCTCACATTCTGAACTACAGCAATGGTGCCTTTATGGTCGCTTTTTTCTCTCCTGCCCCTGCTGTATCCGTCTTCTACATAGTAGCCAGAGTGATCTTTTAAAAATATAAACCTGATTATATCACCCTTGCTTAAAGCTCTACACAGGCTTTCCATGGCTCTTAGAATAAAATCTAAACTCCTTACCTTGTCTTTGAAGTCCTGGATAAACTAGTTCTTGCCTATCTCTTTAGGTTCATTTTGTCTGCTACTCCCCCCAACCCCACTTCCTTGTAGCTCCCACTGCTTTCTTCAGTTCCATAAACATAAACACTTCAGGTTCTTTCCAGCCTCAGCACCTTTGTGCATGCTGTTCCCTTTCCCCTTCAAATAGCTCAATCTGTCTCATTTTCTCGCCTCCTGAAAGAGGCTTCCTAAAAGAAGTACATGCCTAAGAGATTAAAACATGAGTAGGAGCTAGATGAAGATGATTAAAAGAGCATTCCAAGTAGAAACAATGTGGCATGTGCAGGTAAGCATAAGCAGTGTGCTGTTGCTGGTGCAAGGCAAGAACGATGCGAAATAAAGCTGGAAAGGTAGATTGTGAAGGTTCTTATTGTGGTGCTTAAGAATGCTGAACCTTTTTCTGTAGATAGTTGAGAATCTATAGATAGTTCTATCTATAGATAGTTTTAACCAGAGACGTGGCTAGAGGCTATAGCTAATATTTACTGAAAGCTTAGCCTATGTGCCAGTAAGTACTTTACAAATATTAATATTATCTCATTTAATTTTCACAAGAACCCTAGGAAGTAACTAGGGCTACCTGTTCCTATGTGTTTAAAAGATTCTACAGTGTAAAAAGGGTTGCTTTTCAGCTTTTTCCATTGCTGTTTTGGGATTCAGCTCTTTCAGGTCAGCTAAGTAACTGGCATTTGTCCATCAGCTTTCAAAATTTTGTTGCTGTTGTTTTGTACTTTCCCAATACTTGTGGTTTAAGTCATTAGACACACACACACACACACACACACACACACACACACACACACATCTTTAATGGGCATTCAGGAGGAAACAAAATTAGGTGAGGGTATTTAATCCATTTATTTAACCTAGAAGC